GCACCCGTGAAACACTGATAGTACAATTGCTTTATGTCATTGAAAGTAAATTTGTTATATTTATACTCCACGCATTTATATTAGTATTTAATTGCATTACCACGTGCATGGTATTGATCAGTCTGTGCCATATATGGAGGAGTTCTGTTCTCAACTGCTTTAAATTGGTGGACAATGGAGGTGATTTCCTCAGTTCTCCGTCTTCACGCGTCTATGTGTGTTCTATGAGCATCATAACGGGGCTCTGTAGTACCATAGCAGAAGATTAATGCTTTTATCCCTCTTTCACATTGATGTTGTTTTGGATGTGAGAATGGTTTGTTTTGAATTTCACGCAAAGCTACACTAGGGCTATCTTCGCTAGCTGTTCCTAATTTAACAGTGAAAGACTAGAAGGAAGGCAGCTAGTTATCACCACCCATCGCCAACTCTTGGGGGTACTCTTTTATTACCAACAAATAGTAGGGTTGACCGTCAAATTATAACGCCCCCAAGGCTGAAAAGCCAAGCGTGTTTAATGGAATGGGGATTCGAACCCGCGACCCGCAGATTTTGAGTGAAGCGCCCTAACCACCAGGCCATGCTGAAAATGTTAAACATTTAGATAAAAAAATGGTATAAGGTAGTTGCGTAAAATAGTGATGTAACCGGGAGTATTTAAACGACCACCAACAAACACAAGGTCTGCTTCTCCATCATACCAAATGGCTGCCCAAATGGTTGTAATTTGTCGCCTGCCTTTCTTCACATTCATACATTCCTGCTAGAACTGAGTTGCTGAAATCGGGATTCATCGGAGATGATTATCGTCTTCCAAAACCACAGGATGGTAGCGTATTTCAGTAACCCATGAAGATTGTTGACTAAGGCCCTTTGGCATTCAAGCTTGTGTGGTATCCGACGAACTGTATATTTGCTCCTGTCTACTGTTTCTGCAACATCTGACAGGCTGTGACGAGGTTCTTTTCAAACTTGCCCTATAAATTTCTTTTTTGTCGCATGATGTATGCTTGACGGCCGTTCTGGGCGATCCTTGGCAGTTGTAATATTGTTCGCATTAAACTGGGTGATACTGTTATGCACAAGTCTGTTGCAGATCTGATATTTCTACAACTCACACTCCAGTATGGGTAACTGACTGTTCCTTTCTTTGTAGGGGTGATAATTGTATCTTGTCAGGGCTCTATAACAGCTTATAGGTACTCAAGAAATTAGTATTTTAATCGACGGAAGTTTTATTTATTTTTATTTTGATTAGCTATATTTTGCACTGTTTAAAAGTAGACCTACCTCACAGTTTCCCTTCAAGTCTTTCTCTATTCAAAATGAACATTTCAGGAGATGCTTTTTTGTGGCACGTGAATTGTTTAGCCTCGATTATAGCAGTTACAGAAATATGTTAAATCCAAAAGATTTTGGGTGGTACAAAGACCCAAGTCGAGCTCTTTTTCTGGTAAAAAAACGTCTCCATTCTGTTCCTGGTGAATTATTACTGACATATAACTGTACAATATACAAGACTACAAGATTCAAGTGCGAAAAATGTACATTTCTTGTACTGAATACTGCAAAATTGAAGAAAAGTGTATAAGGAAACCAAGAAGACTAATGAATGATGTGTTGGATCACTCCAAATCATTAAAAGAAATTTGTTTTCAATAGTCGCATTAATTTGGTTAAATATCATGTTGTATGTTATAGCAATTCTTATTAATTCCATATTGATATTCCAGTTTTCTATATAGCCCTTACAAATTGCAAATCCTACTTTCTTTTGTCACTATGATATTGATAGCATTTTTATTTGATTGTTTGACCTTGTAAACATTAGGTCAGACACCAAGATTACTTTCTATCATAGATAGATACCAGTCACTAAAGAGAGATTGTTGACATGTTCAAGGATAGCACCCTCCCACGTTCCCTGCCGAATGGTGAAGTCTACCCAAGTTTTTCATCATTTCACGTATGTTCCCTTAAGTATAGGTGGTAATCTTATTCAGTTTTTCCTTTTTTGTCGGGAATCTAGAACAGGAATAATAAGGAATATGAAGACTTTGAAGCCTTACCAAGTAGCTATAGTCCATGTATAGTCATGCACTTTCTGATGAACATGCATACTGACAGTAGCACAATAACATAGCTTCCATTGCAAAATACTGCATTGTAATACTGCCATGTTCAAAGTAACCCTTCTTCCTTCAAGCTTCCCATAATCCATTTAGTATACAAGAAAGAAGGTTTTCCAGTATATGTTTAACTAGTCTTATTACAAAGAAATATATAGGCGCTGCATCCGACAATTTGAAAGTGTATCTTCGTATAAACAAAGGTGAAATCTCGTTTCATTTTCTCGGTACCTTAGGTATGCAACAGTTGAGCAGATATGTTGTTGAAGTAACTTATGTATATATAACTTGTGCAGTTTTATCAGACGTACTGTTGCTGGGAAACGTAGACGAATTCGTTCATGGATTTTCCCAGTAACAAGACGCTGCACTTTTTACAACGCTTGGGTATGGCATGTTAAGATGGTTTTAAATGGTCCTTGTACCCCAAGTTGATCCAGGTTCCGTTGTTTTGACAATGGCATTAAGAACAAAAGATATCCAAACCTTGAAAATCTTAAATCTCCGATCCGAGCATATGTTTATCATATGAATGTATGACTATTTTGCGAAGGAAAGGACCATTACATATCCTTCCCAAATGAAATCAATTTCCGATGGCATCCCACTACCTATCAAACACTAAGGAATATTGTAATCTAGTTGTGATATATGCCGTTACACTGCAACTTTATATCAGTTGTAGTGGCTTGCTGGTTTGCATTTCTAAAACTGTTTTAAACTAGCATGATTTACCCTCAGTATTTCAATTAATTACAATAATTACTGCAAAGATTTACAGTAAATTTTGCCTATAAATTAGTTATTTGATCCACTTTGGTCAGTTCTTTACACTACCAACATTGATTTATTTAAGTTTAGTAAAATTCCTAGATATCGTTTAAACATATTTAGCTGATTTCAAGCTGTCAAAAGTTGATTTATTTTAACCTTTGTTGGACAGAAGACCAGTGGCTCAGTGGTAAGCTTGAGGTCTTATAACGCTATAATTCACGGGCCGATCCCTGCTGTGGGCAACAGCACAAATAACCTATTCTGCATCTTTGAGTTTAAAACATACACACGACCCTAGGTGCGGGTTAGTACTGAGGTAGCGCTCTGGATTTCAAAGCTGGAGAGCCGGTTTCGAATCCTTCTATACCACAAAATATTCCCTGATTATAAGCTGTGCGTGTATTATTAACCAGGCCTTAAATCCCTAGATAGTGGGTGGTAAAATGGTGTTGACTTATTCCCTTCCCACTGGTTAATAGTTCAAGACTAGGAACTGTGGCAGATAGCCTTAGTAGCTTTGTCATAATACTAAATAGAAGTACAAATAATTCACCCCTTCATAACGTTAATATAATGAATATCTGTCTCGAAGAATGCCTAGCTGTCATCAATATTGATAATCCTGAAACAGGAATGGACCAATACCTTCTGGCTCTCCCAAACCATATATTTCGATTCTTATCTAGCGGAATTGTTTCTATAAATTTTGTCGCATCGTAAATTTTTAAACTAGTATTTTATCGATATAATATATTTCATATTTTAATTTTCTAGAAGTTGTACAGCTGTTCTAAGATGTGATAGTGTTTTGTAAAGAAGTGCAAAGCTATACATTAAAAACTTAATCTTAATACACATACAATTAGTGTGATTTGGATATCTTAGAAATATATACAATTATTGTTTTAAAGTTAAACTGCAAAATAAAAAGTAAAACTTTTGAAACTCGATAATTAGACTTTGTTTAATTAGTAAGAATTCGTTTTGAAGTCTAAGTTGATATCAATTATTTTGTCTGAAAAAGTATTAAATATGGTTAAGAACGTTTGTAGACCGATTTACACAGTAAAAATAATAAGACAACAATAAACTTTCAGTATTGTATGCGAAAGCCATAATACACACATATGCTTTTGATGATTTTTTTTTCAGTATAAAAAGCTTAGCAAAGCACACGTTTACACAATGTCTGAAATTTAAATTTCCCCAACATTTTATTAACACTGTTCACATAAATGAGAAAAAATATTGACACATTATATCAAGATTACAGCAAATATATTTTTTATTTTATCAATCAATCAATAATTGATTTCAACATAGGAAATTTAAACAAAAAGCACTTTAAAACTCTAGATAAAGCAAAAATTAAAATATTTTATATATATATATACAAAGCATTATAAGAACATATTTCATCTCTTAAAATATCTGGAAAATGTATAATTTGTACCAAAATTATGAGATACCTACGACGTTTGGGTAGTTGACTTGAAGTAATTCTGTGATATTATAATAAGTATGTTAAACTGGTATATACGTATAGCATTATGTACATTCCAATTGAGAAAAAGATATATAAGGTTATGCAAAAAGCACGAAACATTTCCTTTCAAAGTTACTGAAAATTTTGAGATACTTGAAATCCGATCACTAAAAGATGTTGGCAAGGCATATATAAATATTTATTCACATTATCAGAATGCAGTAAACACCATTTGTATCTATATATATAGAATGACAACAGAATTTCTACTACGCTGAATTCAGAAAAAAAAGCGATGAACAGTAAAATAAGCATGATTATTACATATGGATAATCTAACAATTAACTAAATATAAATTCAAAAGTCATAAATATACCTTTAGTGACTGCGCCATAGATTTGATATAAACCCTTAGTAACACACAAGAAACACGCGCACTGCACAGAATTGTTTGCAATATATCTACCCGGCCATGTAGAAATGAAAGCCTATCACACTGTTTAATGACAGAAGATCTATTGAGCACAACTGTAACTTCTGTTATATATGTAGATTTCGAGCTTTGTTTTTTGAAAGTTGATATGCTTTAAAGGCTATCAAAAAATAAAAGAGGAAACACAGCTTAAAAGTTATTTTTTATTATTATTCAGAACATTTTGAAATACGCTTCTCCATACGTATTTAACAAACTAAAAATACATTTTTTCAGTTATGAAATATTCAATATGTAAGCAAAACATTTAAAATGCAGTATTTTGTATTAGTATCACAATCAACTTTTCTCAAGTAACAATAAATTCAAAATTAATAATCACAATGAAAATCTTATTTATTCTCTCTTTATTATCTAGGGCTAAGCTAAACCACTATTTTAATCACAGTAAACGATTGTATCTGTTTTAAAGCTCGCATTCCTTTATGTTTTCCATATTATTTATTTTGAAGATTAGTCTTTGAAGAAGGGGGAAGTTGTTGGCGATCCCTATCCATGTCCTTGAAATGCAACGTAAGTTTCAAAGTATTGCCCATGTTTAAATCATCATAGATATTAGCATTGAGCAAACTATCACTGTTTGGTCGAAAAGGCTGTAAAAATCAAATTCAGAATAGTTAAATAATATGCACTTCTTACTGTATTCAGTAATTTGAATTTTTTAAAGAAAATAAAAAGCAGTTCTATAATCATAGTCTGAGACAGAAGAAAAATCTTATGTAAGCATTTCGAGTAATTTTATTTTAGTTTAAAATAGATTCATATTTCAATGTCACTGATAGACTACAAACTTTTATAATACTTGACACAAATTAATATATAGTAAGTCTGAGAAACAAAGAAAAACATTCTTCACAACATATTGTAGCACATTCAAACTACACATCACAAAACTGCACAAATTAGTTACACGGTCTTTTTTGGTATCCTGCTCTAAGCATATCAGCGACTCAAATCACAAACTGCCAATCAATATATCAGTTACTCATTCTTTTCCACTTTTCCATATCTTCTGTCCTTCCTCTTTGAATTGTCGTACATTCGTTTTTCTTTCAGCTCATCTATTAACATCGTTCTTTTACTTTAACGTGGTCGTTTTCGTTCTGTTCTTGCTTCCAATATTTTTTGATAAATCTCGTCCTCTTACTATATTCATTTTTAATTTATATATAATCTTTGTATCAAATATCTTTTCTCTTGCATCATCTCTAATATTTCTCTACTCATATTCTTTCTTGTCCAACTGATTTTACCAGTTATTCTTCAAACCCACATTTCAAAACTTTTTGATATTTTCATATCATCTTTCTCACATTTCCGCTGCATGTATCACCACACTCCACACAATGGATTTGATTATTTTCTTCTTCATTGCACTGTCAAATATTTTTGTTAGAAAAAGCTTCATCTTTGTAAATGCTCATTTAACTCTAAGGAAAGCCATGACTCATCTGTAAAGGAAAGACTATTGCTCTACGTGTCACTGGCCCACTAGACGTATTATTGGGATCATTACAGGTGAGCTGTTTTTGCCTCACTGTGAACGGAAGCAGCTTATTGGGCGTCTGGCGTAAAGGCTAGCTTTGTGAACCCTAATTCTAGCCATGTGTGCACTGGTATATCACCTAGTCCTGACTGTGAGCTCCTGATTTACTCTTGGAACAGGTACCCACGACAGCAATTAGTCAGACTCGACAGTTAGCATAGTTCTGCTAGTGTTGAGGATGATGGTTTGTCTTGTATGAGAGTCTGATCAATTTGGAATTGGATTGGAATTCTGCTAAGACACTTTCCCTGCTGTAATTAATAGAGGCTCTTCTTTTACGTGAAGGATCCAAATGTATTTTTAATTCCAGCAATGATTGATAAAATATTGAGAATATTTATACTCTATGATGGAATTTGAAGTGACAACTGAAACAAGTTCGCGTGATATCACTATTTAAAGCATAAGCTGTAAGATGAATATTTTGCATTTCAAATAACATGACAGATCATAAAATGCACCGAGATACTTTTATCACATTATGACAAATATATTGTTTCGTTTTTAGTGTATTGTTGCATTACGACTTAAGCTTATTGCAATAAGGTGAACTTTTCCCATAAACAATTTATTTGAAAATTTAAGCAAAACAGCTTGAATATTAACTACATTTATACAAATCTAACATGCCACAGTATTGCAGATTACTGTCTACAATACTATGCATGTTTGAAAGCATAAACGAAAATGTACTAAGAAATACGTAAATTCTTCTTATAGCTTTTAGTCCCCAGTGGCACAGCGGTATGCCTGCGGACTTGGAACGCTAGAGACCGCGTTCGGTATCCGTGGTGCGCAGAGCACAGATAGCCCATTGTGTAGCTTTGTGCTTAACTTTAAACAAACGTATAGCTTTTATTACCTTATAAAATATTTTATGCTACGCATGTTTTAGAAAAATATTAATATTGTCTTTTATAGAAGTGCAGAGGACTTTTAGATCTAACATTGCCTTTTACCACTCAGAAAGATATCTGTTTTTGATCAAGACTTAAAAGGTTGATTGTTTGTTGTTGCTGGTTTTAAGGTGCAAAGCACCAGATCTATTTGTACTAGACAGTCTATTAATTTGGGGAAAATGTTAAAAAAGAGATGTAAAATATGACAAAGTGTAGAAAAAATTAACTAGAATTCAATTTTTTATGTAAAGCAAATTAAAAGATTAAATGAGTTAAAAAAGCCAAAAACATGATCAATCTGGACAGTGTCACCAACATCAAAGGTATGCCTGGAGATAAAATATGCTGATAATGGCGCCGCCGTTTGCAATCGTAACGATGGCATGAAAGTAAAAGATATACAATTTTAACTCGAGTGTCACAAAGACTACACACTAGTGAATTAGACCCTTTAAAAATAAGATGAGCTATGAAACTACTGGTAATGCATAGCCTAGACAAGACAAATTTCTCAGTCCAATAATTACAGAAACTAGATGGCCAAACAACAAATCTGGAAAAGCTTTCTATGAAGTAGTTCAATCCAAATCGACTGCCAAATGGTTTGATCCATGCCTTGATGATAGATCTAAGTTCCACGTAAGAGACAGGCAGGGCTGTGACAGTGCCACAGCAGGCTGGTCTAGGTACAGTGCCAGCAAGCTTTTTCTCACAAACACCAACATAGCCAGGAATCAAGAAAAGTTTAATGGAGATTAATGAAAAATAGAAGTAGGCCAGTCATTTCTTAATATCCACGAGATCCGGGTGAGAACTCACATTAAGCGATTTCAATTATTTCAAAGAGATAAGCAAGGCAGTGTAGATAGTACAGTCAGTGTACTGCTTAGCTACTACATGATCCAAGACAATTAAAATTGCAAATAACTTGACAACAAACACAGAATCTATACAGGGGTTCTTCCAGCAACCACTGAGCTAAAGCAAACCATGACACAGCCAACAGAGTGTCACCAAATTTCGAACAATCTGTAAAAATGGAAACAGAACATTGTTCAAAAGATGTTCAACAATAGAGAAAATGGTGTTTCCAATCAAGAGTAACCAACCCCTTCAGATTACTTGTAGAAAGATTACAATTAGGGATAGTAATAAGCCATGGCCGGATGGGATAATCATTAGACTTAGCAATATCATCCAACATCAGACCTAATTCAGTTAAACATACCTAACTACACGGGCCAAAAAGCACAGCCTACTAAAGCATGAAGACACATGAAGTGACCTGAAGTGGAGGAGAGGATGCAAAATATGTTTAGTACCATGTACACTTGACACAAAACTGCTTAATGTGTGGAATAAATGTAAGCTTACCGTCGAAGAGAAGTCCTTTCTCTCAGCCATCACAGGAATACCTCCACCACCCAGTTGGAGCTCTGAATCAGTTTGGTTTGAATTTCGCACAAAGCTACACGAGGAATATCTGCACTAGCCGTCCCTAATTTAGCAGTGAAAGACTAGAGGGAAGGCAGATAGTCATCACCATCCACCGCTAACTCTTGGGCTACTCTTTTACCAACGAATAGTTGGATTGACCGCACATTATAACGCCCCCACGGCTGAAAGGGCGATCATTTTTGGAGATACAGGGATACGAACCTGCAGCCTTCAGATTGTTAGTCAAGCACTCTAACCACTTGGCCATGCTGGGCCACTCTGAATCAGATTGAAATTCTCACTGGCAACAAAAATACACTCCACAAACAGTTTTAGATGGTGAGAAAGTGAAATCATTTGCTGTGGTCCACCCAAACGAGCGTTTGAGGGTAGCTTCAAGGTGCCATTCAATAAACCCCATATTAAATGATCAACAGGAAATTTGAAAGTAATCGACATAGTGCCTGTTTGAAACTGTAGGAGAAAGTTGTTCAGGGATAGCATTGATCTTAGTACTGAAAAGGATGATATTCAACACACAGTATAAAGGACACCAAATTCCTATGTGAAGTCAGGGCACTGTAAAACTAATATGGACTTGGAGTGACCTATCAATAAAAAAAGTTACAAATTAAAGTGGGTAATTGGCCACGTAACCAATAGGAATGGAAATCCTGTAAAATACCAAGCTTCCAGATAGTGTTGTAAGCCTTATTAAGATTAAGAAAGTTCAATACAAAATGCTCACTTTTGAGGAAGGTTTTCCTGATTGATGTTTCAAGTTAAATCACGTGGTACACAATGGAGTGCTGTCTGCGAAATCCACATTGAATGGACGAGAGGAAATTGTTTGATTCCAGAAACCAAACAAGACGAGCACTCTTTCCAAAACCTTACAGAGACAGCTATTGAAAGAAATTGGCCTACAGTAGAAGGAATCTTGAGATCCTTTCCAACTTTAGAAAAATGGGAATGACAATAGCCCTGTGCCAAACACCTGCCAAATCTGGTTTAAAAAACCTGAAGAATAGCAAGAAATGCTGGCAAAAGATGTAACAACATCTCATCAAGAACACACGGTAGTGAGTCGTGTAGTCAAAGCAAACTGCTGCAGAACACACTGTTTGTTATTAACAGGAATGATAGTTTAGCGATTTTCCACCTTCTGTATCTCGAAGTGTGGTAATTCAAACTATCACATATTTCAGTGGATGTGTTCAACTAGACTTTTACTTCACATACCAAATTTCTAGGTAATCCCTTAAGAAATACCTGAGATATATCATCCCCAATTTTGATTGAGTTTTGTCCTTCTTTTTCTTTGCACCAAAAGTACGATAACTTTACATAATAGAAAAACATACTTATCTTTCATAGATATTTTTCCCAAATTTGGTACACTGATAGATCTTTCCAGCCTAGAATTAGGAGTCTCGTTTGGTGTAAATACAAGCCACATGTGAAAAGTTATTGAACAAAAACCGCAAAAATTTGACAAAAGCTTTTCGCACACCTGCTCAAACATTCACGTGAGATATGCATGTAATATTTTTATTACAGCTTCAGCTAAGAATAAAAGTGGACCTTTTTTTAATTGTTTATCATTCGGATTGAAGAGGGCTGATTTAGTTATCTAGGCCGCGTATTTTGTTTTACCCACCATCATGCCCCAATTTGAACAAAATATACGGCCTGGCTAACTACTGAATGA